CTCTCAATGCAGAATTTAAAACATACACCTAAGTTTCTTTTCAGTGGGCTACCATTTATCTTACTATATATATACTATAAAATATATATATAATATATATAAATATATAATATAAGATAAATGGTATATATATATATATCACAAATATTTAAATGTGTGGAAAATAATTTCACATGCTACATAAATATTCACTCTTATTTTCCTTAAGAAATGCAGAAAAATTGACCTTGAAGTTTGGTGCCTATATATTCAATGTGTGACAGTTTACAGGCCACATTTTTTTATACTCTTTATGTATTATTGTATAACTAAATGGAACACCAAAAGGTACTTCTTTTTCTTCTTTTGGCATATGTTTATGTATGTAATCATGTCATTTGATGTTGTTGGGTTGAAAATACAAGGGATTTTTTTAAAAAGTGACAGTAAACAGTTACTAAAATTAAGTTTTAAAAATTTAATTTCAGAATGGAAACAATGTCTGTAACCTAATCGAAACACTTCCTTCTTCACAGGTGGCTTTATGGAAACTGAAGCTGCTGCTCAGGAATCTTTGGGCTTAGGCAAACTTGGAACTCAAGCCGAAAAGGATAGAAGACTGAAGAAAAAGTAGGTTTGGAGTTTGTTTTTCCCCCCTTATTTCTAACTTTTACTTATTCTTTATCATTTTTTGTAGGGAATTAAGAAAAGATGATTAGAATCAAAATCACTAAACAGGTCAATATTTTCCTAGTATTTCCTAAAACAACTCAATGCATATGTTTCCTGATTATAATGAGGTTCAGTTTAAATATGTATTAGATTTTAACAGAATAAACCGTTTCTTTTAAGTGAACAAAATTAAGGGACATTTAAAATACATATAGCCTTAAAAATAAAGTAATATTCTATTTGATGTTAAGTTTAGTATTGAATTGGTATGAAAAAACGAGGGGATACTGCCTAACTCTGTGTTTCTTCTCATGGCAATTAAAAGTATCTACTCTTTTTAACACAGTATTTGAAAGAAGAACCATTTCTCTGACTTATTAAATATAAACTTATTTTAGAATCACAGCAGATTGTTTTGCATCTGTCAGGAAACTGATAGTGAATCTTTTCATTCACATATAATATGGAACATTTAATTGACTTGCAAAATTGGCAAATTTTGAGTCTCAGCAGCTGTGGGAAAGAAGTAAGTCCATAAATAACATATTTTAAGATATGTAGTAACATTTTCAGTGACAAAATGGCACCCTTAGAACATGTTCTTTAAAAGCAAAATAATTTATCTTTATTTCAGAATCTTTTAGCCAGTTACTCCTTTTCACTTCTCTTTCAAATATTCATTAAATTATGTATGATTTTCATGTTTTCCTTCTTTCCTATGAAAGAATACTCATTGTTCTAATCATGATTTTTCAAGATAAGTTTCTATGATTATAGTACACAGACTAATCAATTAACATTTTTTTACTTTTTAATCTTCTTTGCAAATGTTTACTAATAATGGGAAACATGCTTGCAATTTGCAAAACAGTTCACTAATTGTTTATAAGTTTGCTAATCCCTAGAATTAGATAGATTCAATAGAAATACTATCAAGAAAAATATGTTCTTGGGAACATTATTTCTTGATAACAAGTAGATGCTCAGTCATAATCAATGGCAAATATTTCTTTAGTTACTGATCACTCAAAAATAGAACTAAATATTATCATAATGTTATCTTAATATCATTAAGTACTATCAAGAAATTATGTATTTAATTTATGATTATGTATGGAGAAGACATGGTTCTATAAAATATTATTTGATAGAATTTTTTAAAATTTTTAGTTAGCTTACTTCAAGTCTAAAGGAATGTGAAAAATTAAAACCCACTCTGGCTAGTGGCCATGGTGTATTCCCTTAAATTAATTCTCATTGCTCCCACAAAGAAGTGTTTACAATCAATAGCAATCTGATTAGCTTTCCCATTTTTATATAAGATTTATAGTGAGAATGTGTACTGCATAATTTATTGCTTGTTTTGGGGACCAAGTTAAATAGCCCTTTCAACAGATACTAAAGTTAAACATTCCAGTTATATATTATTTATATATTAAAAGTAACTTACATAAATTATAATTACTTAAAATATTTAAGGTTAGTTATTATTAACTTCACATACTCTTGGATTGATTTGATAGTAATTTCATAGAATTATTTCTTAACTCTAAGTTAGATCTTGATTTTGGTTCTATACTTAGTTGGAGAATTTAGCACACTTGACTTTGTGTTTTATTTTTCCATGTTTTGACCAAATGCAATTGTCTTTAACATTAAGAAGAATATTAATAACATTCTATAAGACAATGATGGCTAACATGTCTTAGTATAATTGTTTTCCTATAGAATAAGAGCATTTGAGTTAATGGTTCCAACAAGGCAGGGTAGAGTTAACTAAAGAAAATGCGAAAGTATTTCCCTTTTTATTGGCTTTTCCATAACAAGAAACCCTATGGGCATAAATATGCAACTAGTGTTCAGAGATAGAAATGAATAAGTGCTAACCTTACTCAGGACTTTTCTGACTCCGTGTTTTTGTTTCTGGGTTATCAGAAAGTGTTGAGTCTTCATATAATGACAAGAAAAATTACTTTTGAATTACCTGGTTTCAAATTTATTTCTATCAAATTTTTATATTTTTAATTATTATTATATTAGCAGCTTGTTCTCAAGTTCTCCTGTCTCAAGTTTCATTTAAACCTTTCCAATTTTCCTTTTTTTAAGCAACCACGTATCTTCTTTCATTTAGCTTAAAGGGATTGGATTGTTTTCTATGTTCAAATTTCATACATGCAGGTCTTAAGATGGAAAAAGGTTTTGAGAATATTTTATCGAAAAAATAAACAAAAACAATAAATGGAGCACTATATGTTATACATGGACAGTTGTGATTATGTGTTTCCTATCAGTTGTTTTTGCATTCTGTCCGTTGGCCCTGCAGATGTTTCCAGTCCATAGTACTCAATTTAAACCTAGGTACACCATATGAAATGGCATAGCATATTCATTAGTCTCTGTGTCAATAAGCAGAGCTAGAGAGAAACTTACTTTCAAGTTTACTAGGATATCAGGTGTATAGAATTGACCATCTGTGTCTTTAAATAAATCTCTAGAGAAGTTATTTGTGGAATATTTTTTTAAATAAATTTTAAAAACATGAGGAAGATACTTTCTGAGAGCAGCATTTGAGACATTCTAAATTCCTACAAAATATAGAAATTTATAATGTTGGCAATCTCAAAGAAAGGTCTCATTTGAGGTTACATTTACCATGTGGCAAATTTAACACACCTGGGTTAGAACAGCTTACAAAACACACATTAGTAGTTTCATTCTACTCTTACTTTCCTTCCTGGTTCAGGCATTAATTTTGCTTATATTTCCAGATATTGTTCCATGATAAGAAATAGCAAATCAACAATATTGGGTATGCTGTAACATACCTTGTCTCCTTTTCCCTTCCTGCATGTTGTCATGTGGGTGCTGTTCTTCTACCAGAGTGTCTGACCTCAGCCTGAAGTCTGTCCTAATGAGTGCACTGTTCGGTGTGCCTTTACTATGTCTTTACTTTACTTTAAATCTTCAATTCCATACATTTCTCCAAGAAGGTAATATAGAGTACAGTTAATACCTACAATAACTGTCAAACAGAGACATGCCTAGAAATTCTTTGAATATTTCACATTAATATACTTAGTCTTTCTTTTTCAAATTTGACTTTTTTTTTCTGTAGTCTCCTGGGTTTAGTGCTCTTAATCTTTAGGGGTGAGACAATTATTCTCAATATTTTGTCTACATGCTAATATTGGGATTCTACCTAGCTTTCTCAATATGAGCTCCCCCTGGAGATGTCTTGACTATAAGATCTTATCCATCCATCATCTTCGGTTTCATTTCAGTGGACTCCAGGCACCTTTTCCTACTAAACAAAAATAAACATCTTCCCTATTTCAAGATGATACTAACAGCAACTAGACCTAAGAATTTTACCTCTTTGCCATCCTGATTTGAAAGAACTTATTTCTCTTTCTTAGCTCTCCAGCTTATCTTTCAATATAAAATCTTAAATGACTTGCTCAGGATAGCTAGTTAAAGCCAACCAATCATGAAACTATGAAAAGCAACTCCACAGAATAATAGAAGTTAGTGCAAGACCAAAAATCTACCTGTGATAGACTTACAAAAATCTCAATTTCTGAATGAGGTTTAGCTTCCCCATAGTTGAGAGTCTAGATTTCAGTAGTTTAGGGCCCAATAACTAGAAACTTTCTTCTTTGTCTAAGTTCAAAACATTTTTTCTTTCTGAAAATTTTTAGTGTATTTCCAAAGAAACCTCAATTTAAAAAATACAGCAGTCTGCAAACCTGTTATTTATAAATTTTTTAAATTATGAATTCAAAATTATGAATTCCTTATTAATTGGAAAAAAAATTATAATTACTTTAAGGTAAAAAGATAGATCAAAATTTAGGGTCTTAAAAAAAGGAAAACAGTTTCAAAATTTATTTGTTGATAAACAAAGAAGCCAGACAATTAGAGGTTAAAATGGCAGCCTGATTACCAACAGTTCTATCAGAATATGGTTTAGATTTATGCTAGATTGAAAAAAATAAAAAGGAGGTAGTGAAACTTCCTAAAATAGAATATTGAATTTAAATAAATTTACCTGACACAGAAAAAGCTGGCAGTCATAGCCTTCCAAGATCTACAGATATAAACCTACCTCACCTTAAAGATAAAATTTCCAATGTTATGATTTGATAAATGTTATTGTGGAAGCAAGAGCTATTGGAATAAATGAAAATTAAACATTTTGCCTGAAGTTTTTGAAGTATCAGTGTTAATTATTTTTTATTAATGTCTTATCAGATTTCTTACTCTCCTCTTACTTAAAATATATCTAGCTGACAGTTTCTCATGTTACTCTCTTTAGAAATGTGATGATAGGCCGAGTGGCAAATTCCCTGAGTTGTTAGAAACCTGAAGATATATTTTATACCTAAAATTCATTGATAATTGCCAAAAGAGTAGAACAATTTTTCTAAAATAATTTTCCCTCAGAATTTTGAAGTTAATTCTTTTCTTTCTTCCAGTTATATTTAATGTCAGTTGTCATTCTTTAATATATAATATGTCTTCTTTTTTTCTCCCTGGAATTTTTATGATTTTTTTTTGCAGGGGGGGGGGAATGAGAGACTTCATTTTTGGGATTCTGAAATGTCATAAATATATGTCTATTAAAATTTTTATGTTTCAACTTTCTACTCCATACTTTCAATCTGGGGAGTTGTTAGACTGAACTATTTAACATTTATTATCCTAAAGGACTCACATTTTGAGATTCAACTTTGATTCCAAGAAACTTATTTTTATCTATATATTAAGTTAGGATTAAAGATGAGGATGTCTGTTTCAATAATAATATATCTTTCTAGCTCTCAAGATAATTCCTAATGGGCAGTAAACAAATTAAAACTGACAGAATATTCAATGAATAGTTACTTATCTCCAGAAGTATAAATTATGAAATTCTTAGCTGAATTTTTTATATGCTATTTTTCTTCTACCTTTTAACA